ATATAATAAGTCCTCATTTAACATCATTCATAGGACCTTGAAAACTGTGACTTTAAGTAAAATAACATAAAACCAATTTTAACATAGGCTAATAGGCATAAGAGCTAAGTTCTTACAGCATATTTCTGGTCACAAAACATCACCAAACTTTGATCAGGCTGGCAGGGGAGCAAGCAGTTAGGGGCAAGATCAGGCCAGCAGGGGAAGGCTGTTGGGAGCAATCAGGCTGGCAAGGGAGGGCAGTAGGGAGTGATCAGGCCTGCAGGGGACAGCATTTGGGGGGCGATCAGGCTGGTAGGCAGAGGCAGTTAGGGGCAATCAGGCAGGCAGGCAGAGGTTGTTAGGGGTGGTCAGGCAGGCAAGCAGAAGTAATTAGAGGCAATCAGGCAGGCAGGCAGGCAAGTGGTTAGGAGATAGCGGTCCCTGATTGTGAGAGGGATGTCCCACTGCCAGCAGTCAGATATCCCCCAAGGGTTCCCAGATTGGAGAGGGTGCAGACCAGGCTGAGGGACACACACCCCTGCACGACTTTTGTGCACTGGGCCTCTAGTGTGTATATAAAATAAAACAAGTCTATGAAGATCTCCAAACACTCATTTGTTAAAACTTCTCTCAGAATTCTGTATCTATGTGAAGAGATGGACAGATACTCTAATTACTGTCCTTCTCATGCATTTACACACCTGAGAAAACATGAACTGCCCACCATATAGTGTTCAGTCCTAATGGACTGCTTGTACCTATATCTATCTATCTATCTATCTATCTATCTATCTATCTATCTATCTATCTATCTGAATAAAGTTCAAGTAAGACTCATATGGCAAATTAAAATTTTATTGCAAATATTGCCATCACATAGATCATCATAATCTTTGCAATATTTTGGTGGAGCGATAAAATGTGGATGGCTCAAAATTGGAAATTCCTTACAGGTGATAATATCTGAACAACTGATAATATATTCTAGAACCTCCAATGACAGAGTCTCTGAGGGCAAACTGAAAATGAAAAACAACACATAACTGAAAATACAAGATCAAATGCCAATATCCCCTGAGAGTCATGTGATTTTTCTCATGTGACTTTGCCTCCCTTGACAAGCTCAATGACTTCACTATTAGCCTCTCTGTCATTCTCAAAGGGCAATAAGTTCAGGATGTAAAAGAGCAAGACCAAATATAATTTAAGGTAGTTGGTTGTTTCTTTTTCCCTGCCACCTCCCCCCTTCGTTTGGTTAAGTATTAGGCATGGTGACAAATAAGAAAAGGGTGTTAGGTAAGGATCTCATGACTATAAGCTTCATAAGAGCAGGAACCACATTTTCTCTGAAGTAGACAAGTAGCACAATGAGAAGCACAACCTTAGTGATAAACAAATACATGTTGAAAATGAGTTAATCATAGAATAAATAAAAGAATAGATTTTGTGCCAGAATTTGGACAAGGAAAATTATGCTACAACAATTATATTTTTAAGAGCTTACCATCTGAAATTTTTTATATCATGGACACACACATACACACACACGATTACCCACACACACACATACATACATACATATATATGTACACACACATACATACATATAAAAGCATATATATACACATATATATGATATTATGTATTATAATATATAATGCATATAAACAGGCATATATACATCAGGTTATTATTTATTTTTAGTCTTTTGGGGAGTGTACTTAATCTCTATCACTTATGAGAAAAAAAGCAAATATTTGAGTCCTGTTGTTCTCTCGTAATAAATTTTTCTTTTATAAGCCATTCCTTTATCTTAGAAAAAGTAAAAGCTACTTACTCAATTCATGTAGTATCACTTCAATGACTGGATATTTAAAAGTGAAAGCTTTCTCTCAGTTAATTAATGCATAACAGTTTTATAGAACATTGGTTTTCAAATTTTGCTGCACAATTTAATCAAATAAAGATTCCTAAAAAATCCTGATGTCCATGTATCAATAAAATCAGGATCTTTGGGAATGAATCCAAGGCATTATATTTTTATTAATTCTACAGGTAATTCCAACATACATTCAAGTTTGACAGTGTTATGCATAAGTAGTTCTTAAAATCTAATGTGCATACAAATCACCTGTGGATGTTGTTAAACTATAGATTCTGCTTCCATAGGTCTGGATGGGCTCTGAGAGTCTGCTCTGATAACTATCCCCCACATGATGCCAATGCTACTTTGAGTAGCAAGGTTATAAACCACTGCTATCCAATAGAAATATGATGCACGTCACATTTTTTGGTAGCCACATTCAAAGCATAAACAAAAACAGTTAAAATTAATCTACTAACATTTAATTTAACTAAATATATAAAAATATCATTTTAAAATGCAATTCAATAAAAATCATATATATGTATATATATGACCCTAACATGCAAATAGACCAAACAGTGGAACAACCGAACAACCGGTCGCTATGATGTGCAACCCCGCCCGACCCACTGCCAGCGCCCGGCACTGGTCCCAGTCACTCAGCACCATCAGTGGGTGTGAGCAGCCGCTGCTGGCCCAATTGCCCCTCAGGACTTCTCCACCTACCCCTGCTCCTGAGGGGCGTTCAGGGCTGGCAGCTGCTACTCGCACCTGCTGTTCTCACCCACTGCTGGTGCCGACCCCCTCGCACCTGCAGCTGGTGCCAGAGCTGCTGCTCACACCCACTGATGGTGCTGCCCTGCTTGCACCCACTGCTGGTATTAGACCCAATCGCTCTGCGCCATCAGTAGGTGCGAGCAGGGCTGGAGCCATCAGACCGTGGGAGCTGTGGAGGCAGGGGTGGGGTTGCTGGCAGACAGGGGACTGGGGACCACAATAGGAGGGGCTGGGCGGAGGCATGGAGGAGGGCTGAGACCTGCCCCTGTGCCCACTACAGCCTCATGGCCCACAGTTACTTTCAAGGTGCAAGAATTCGTGCACCAGGTCCCTAGTTATTAATAAAGTAATTTACATACTTTTTTTGGGTAAGACTTAAAATCCAGTGGATAGTTTTATACTTGGGGCATACCTCAAATTAGACCACTCATATTTCAATTGACCAGTATCCACTGGAGTCCATGAATGAAAATATTAGACTATACTACATCAGTTTCCTAAGGAAAATTTTAAACCATGGGTTACTTACCAAAAGGTTTCCAATTAAAATGACCATCATGTAAAAAGGAACACAAGTGAATTGGCCTGCTATGTCAAAGCAATCCCATAGAGTCTCTACCCACTCTCCACAGAGAATCCGGAACACATTCAGAAAGGAGTGGAAGAAGTCACTCATGTGCCAGCGTGGAAGTTGACAGTCTTTGTCTAAGTTGTAGACATATGCTTTGTAACTCATACCAAACAGCTTTGTGCCGACCACAGCAGAAAAGAACAGGAATGTGGACAGCAGCAGGATCAAGTCTTTCAGGGCCACCAGCGACTTTATAAGAGTCAGCTTCAGAATCTCAAATGTTGGCCAGTATTTCCCCAGCTTGAAAATTCGCAACTAATAGAGCGATGTAAAACACAGGAATAAGAAACAAAATGCAAAAAACTTGGTTATTATTCATTATGATATACATTTAAAATCTGTATCAGCATTATACATATTCAAATATATAGTATTTAATGTAATACTCAGTTTTGAACATTTTAATATTAACCACTAACAATTCATTTTATGGACAATTTTAATACAAAGCATACATATTCTATAACTTTTTACACACAATTCATACATATTGATCTGTCAATGCCCATTCAATATTATGTTACAATTACTCTAGCTATATGTTTTAATATCTGATAGGGCAACTGTCCCTTCTGTTTTGTTTTCACACTATATCGGGCATTTCCGCATATTCTGACATGTAGATGATATGGAAAAAAACCTGTCATTTTCCACTGAATTTCATTAAAGGTTCTATTGTGTGTTTTCCTTTTAAAAAAACACATTAAAGACCAAACACAACATTCCAGGTTTAGTTTGAATATTTCCCTTCTTTTCACTAATGCTTTTTTTTTTTAAATATATTTTATTGATTTTTTACAGAGAGGAAGGGAGAGAGATAGAGAGTTAGAAACATCGATGAGAGAGAAACATCAATCAGCTGCCTCCCGCACATCCCCAACTGGGGAGATGCCCGCAACCCAGGTACATGCCCTTGACCGGAATCGAACCTGGGACCCTTCAGTCTGCAGGCCGACGCTCTATCCACTACATCCCAGTGGGGGATGTGCCCGCAACCCAGGCACATGCCCTTGACCGGAATCGAACCCGTGACCCTTCAGTCCTCAGGCCAACGCTCCATCCACTGAGCCAAACCGGTTTCGGCTTCACTAATGCTTTTTTAATTGGTACAGCACAGATTACCTTAACATTTTAGCCACCTAAAATGAACTTAGTCATCTAAAATCCACACATCGTTTTTATGTGCACTATCTACTGTCCTTAACCTTTCCTAGTATATATTTGGCTTTCTGGATTCAAGAGTAGAACTTTACATTTATCCAAATAAAACTTAATCATCTTGTATTCATTCTGTTACTAGCCTTTCGGATATTTTGATCCAATCTTTGATCACATTTTCTGCATTTCCCAGTGTTGTTTCTTACATAAACTTGATAACTACATCTTGTACATATTTCTCTCAGTCATTAGAAAAGTTTATGGACGAGGATTAAAACAGGTTGCTCTTGATTCCTGCTTCATTCCTTCAACTTATTGCCAGAACGTGACAATATATTACTTATCAAATGCTTAATATTTTCATAAATAGCACTCTAATAACATTATTACCTTATCTAGTTTTCTGATTCTTAACATTAACCTTCATTGCGGACATACTGATTCTGACAGTAATTTTTATAACAACATTCTGCTGGCCTGACTGCTGTTATCTAACGTTTTCTGCCCTGCATTTAGAAATAACTGGTTCCAATTCCTTAGTTACACATTGACATTCAGCTTCTGGGGCTCTTCATTACCTTGCTCCTTAAAACTGGCCCAGGACCCCTGGCCCTGCTTCCTAGATCTACATCTCAAATTAGCTACATATACGGCTTATTTTTTTTGAATGCTTTGGTTAAATAATAGCATTAGAGACTGCATACTTTTTCCCGGGGCAGTATTAACTCATGTAATACTCCAAATGTCCCAGTGGTGTTTCTATTACTATTCTTTCATTTTCTGTTTGATAAAACTGAGATAAATTTTCGTAAAATAAGATTGAGGTCTTGGATTCTACTTACCACCCTGGATAATTGAAAAACCTCCAGCCCATGAACATTCGCTAGAAAAAGGTCTGCTAAACCAAGGAATACAATTATGCTATCATAAATATTCCAGCCTACTTGGAAATACCCATATGGATGCATGGCAATTATTTTAAAAATCATTTCTGCTGTGAAAATTCCAATAAAAACCTAAATAAAAACAAAAGACATGGATGAGAATATGATTGCAATGGCTCTTTGGAACTCTCATGCACAGAAACTGTAACTTGTTAAAGCCACAATCCTCACAGTTCTTCTGTCAATATCTGATTAGTTTTGGAGTCTATTACAAGAGTCATACATTTTATTTAATAATCTAATATTAAACACTATATATAAAATCATCGATTACTTTTTAAAGCCAGTCTGGAAGAAAATAAAAGAATATTGGAGGGTAGAAAATCTTTTCTTTTTGAATAGTTTCTTTTGGTATATGGACTATTTGTTAAGATATTTAATTTTTCAACTTTCAAAAGAATGAAAGAAGTACATATATGATCCAGAAATAAACAGAATGAAGCTATGAAAACTGTCTTCTGAAAACTATATTGGAAGAAGTTATTTCTACCAAATTATGGTTTTGGTGTCAAGTAAATGTATAATTCAAAATTAGTAGCAACATGGCTGTTTGTATGAATACCAAGTAACTAACCAATAACAAAGTAATAAAAGGGAAAGAAATGAAACACTATATATGTGCTTGAACGTGACTTGTTTTTAAATGCATACAAATCTGTTTTGTCTTTTGCACTGTATGGGATGAAAAAGATAGGTGAATCCCAACAACACCTTGCAAAGGATAAGCTCCACTCTAAGGCACAGACAGGTGGTGAGAGCAGACAGGGTCAGGTGCAGTTGTAGTCAGGATTCACAATCAGATGTCAGCGAAGAACGTCTGTCTGCTATTTGACTTTTACCCTATTCTGATCTATGGGGATATGATGCCCAAGAGAGGGTATACTTGGGAAAGGAGAGGAAAGAATCATTTCATGACTGCTAAGCAGCTGGCGAGGAATCCAAAATTTAAATGGCAGATTTTTAAACTCTAGGTATTAACCTATTCAGTGATAAGAACATTTACAAAGCAGGGCTGGGGATGAAGTGGGGAAGCATGAACACAATACTTTATCTTGTGCTTATATAATGCATTTGCAACATATTCACGTTATAAAATAATAATGGGATAATGACAACTAAAAAAGATTGAAATTTCAAATGAAAGTAACATAGAATAAGAGCCTTACCAGGTTTCCAATGATGAGAACATAGGATGTTGTTTCACTCATTGGATAACATTCCATGGCCAAAAAACATATGTTTAGAATTATGCATATAGTGAGAAAAAGATCAGTAAATGGATGCAACATAATCACATGGACAAACTCTTTCAACTTTAACCAACAGGGAGAACAATTCCAAATCAAGAAAATTTTAGCAAATTTATACCAACACAATGGACAGCTCTTCTGAGATTTTTTATGCTCTGCAATGAAAGAATAGTAAAGTGAAACTTTAGAAAATTGCCTAAGTATAACTAATAAGAAATGTTGACTTTTGCATATACTAGTAAAGAGAGGTTTGAAACTAGACTTTTGATTTGGAATTAGCAAAAAAGAGAAATATTTTATACTAATAAGTAGAGCAAAGTAAACTTCTTCTATTTTTTTCATGGAAGTTGAATTAGACAAATGAAAATGAGACAAACTGTCTAGTGGAAGAAAAACATAGGAGTATCTGTCAAAACAACAAATATGGAATATAGCTGAGAACATTGTAATTTATAATTCCTAGATTTATGTACTTTATAAAAGAATGCCTTTTAATACTGGCATAATAATGAGTTACCGGTTGTATATTTAAAAAGCAGAGTCAATATAGAGAGGACCTTAATATATGAACCCTTTCCAATGTTAAAAACACTATATTTATGGAATTTTTCTAAATTGTTCATCCTAATATTCTACTGTTATTCCTTAACTTTTGTTATCATATAAAATTCTGAAGTCATTATAAAATTTCTTTAAGAGTGAATCTTATGAATAGTACCTTTCATAATATTTTTTACTAAATATCTTATCTAAAATACTTTTTACTAAAAATATTATCCAAATATTTTTTACTTTACCTTCTTTATGTCTGATAGTAGCATCATCCAACATATCCAAAGAAGTGATCATAGAAGTTGGTGATCTTTTCTTCATTTCTATTTGTGTGGTCTTGGCCTAAAAAGAAATTTCATGAGTATAATAATGGCTTCTTCCCAAGATTATAACTATAAGAAGGATTATAACCTCTTTAAATATGCTGATTTTTACTTCCAGAAGCTTTTTCTTTTGGAAAATGTGTATAACTTGCAACTTGACAAAATAATTGTATGCTATGAGGGCAACTATAAAAGGAGTAAATCAGAGAATGATAGTGGTATTACCCATATTTGACAAAGAATTCAATGTATAGTTTAAGATTATTGTAAAATATCCAGTTGGTAAGCATGCTATTGAATAACAACAGTATTCCTCTAACACAGGGATGGGGAATGTCTGGCCCCTGGGTATAAGGCCCATGAAATTATTTGATCTGGCTCTGCCACAGCATAAGGAGTGAGTTAATTAAATGTTTGACAAAATATAGCAGGCTAATTTTTAAGTTGATAATTTTGTATGACCCGCAAACGATGTTATAAATATCCAAATGGCCCTTGGCAGAAAAAAGGTTCTCCACCCCTGCTCTAACATCTTAAATTTCTTTTCTTGAGACTATATTAACAATATAACTTTGCAAATTCTCTTGACAGAATAAAAATACTTACAATGCAAATGAAATAAGTCTGGAAGAATATCAAGTAATAGATTTTTTTTTAAAAATTGTGTTGTTAGAACATACATGATAATCCCATAAAGGAATTACTTATTTCTCTTGGATAACCATTTTAAGATACCCTCTGCTTTGCTGATGTGGCTACATGGGGTTAAAAAGAATCCTTGCATTGAAAAGACACTCACAACCCCTAAATTTGATGTCGAGATTATAACTTCTACACATTCAGTGTTATAAATATAGCTCAAGATGTTTCTAGTGACCATGTATAAACTTTGTAATTGGATTTAAACTGTAAGAAATTCATAATGGGTAATGATATTACACCATAGATTTCCCAAGAGTTTTCACATTTGGCACACACAAAGAATAATCATATTTATCTATTTGTTAACTTGGGATAAATAGGTGAAGCTACTCTTGGATAGAAATAACTATCCATGGTTAAAAAGCAGAGTCAATATAGAGAGGACCTTAATATATTAATTACATATATATGTATTCTATAGTATATATATTATGTAATTCCCTTATATATGTAATCACATACACACAGCTTGGAATACTCCCACCATAACACTGAGGGATTTAGTAGATGAGGCTCACCAATAACCCATACACAATACACTCAGGTTGCCAAGTTCTGTTGTGGTCTATCTGAAGAGGCATAATAGATATGAAAGGAATCATATTCATCTCACTCAGTACCAGTCAAATCCCCTCTAATTTCACAAATAGTGGTGAAAACCAGTTGCATTTCATACTGAGTTCCACTGGCAGATTCTGCAGGTCTACAAATCTTGGTTTCCTCCCCGCCTCCCTTTTTTAACTCAAAAAGTAAGTTAAAAACTGAGGATGCCAAGTTAGTGTATTTACTTTAACTATGATTATTTAAGAAATTATTTTAGCTCACATAAAATTACATAAAATATGTTATAAATTACACAAGTCCAAATTTCCATGAGATAAAAAAAATACATAAGCAAACTTTTTTCCTGTTATTAAGATCTGATGAGGATTTCCTAAGTGTATCTTTATGATAATGACACTTTGGTGATATAGGAAGTACTATCTTTCACTATGCTCTTAATATAGAGGAAATTACTTCCCATAGAGCTATTTCTGACAGCGACAATGATTCATGGAGTCACACCAAAGAGCAAGTCAGTAAAGACAGTCTTCTGTGTGCGGAATGAGGGATGGAGTAGGGAGAATAGTAATGTTATTGTTGATATAGTCAATGCCAATTTTCTACTAATTTGGGTTGAATATGGATGTATTTTAGAATACAAAATGAACAAATTGAGCTAAAATAGTAAATGAACACCCACGTGTGGGCCAACTCTTAAGGATACAGCTGTTTACAATGCAAATTGAGAGGATCATAACAGTAACTCCTTTTTGGAAGTTTAAGAGTTAATCAGGGCACACGCCTGAATTTCAGACAATTCAATGTCAAAATTAGACTGGGAAAAGGGACTACGTTTCTCACAACTGGTTTAAATTTTCTCTGGGAGGAGGTGTGAATAAGGAAGAAAGAACAGTCATATTTCTGGCATTAAGCAACAAATACCTGAAGTGTTCATCTTGGACTCAGACTTCCTCTCTTTACTGCAGCCACACTGACCCTCTTTTCTCTCCCTATGTAGCACGATCATTCCTCAGATCTCAACTCAAGTAACAGTTCCTCACAAAAACCTTTTCTGACTCAGAGAAATACTTTATTAGTCTCTCAAAGCAGCGTATTTCTCTCTTTATAGTTACAGGGTGTTTTTTTTAGTAGAGAATGATAAAGTCAACCACCAGGAACCCAATATTCAGCTTCAACAATGAACAACATCATACCCTTCATTTATAATATATTATTCATCCAAGTTTCTTTCTGAAAGATTTAAAATCAAATTTTAAACATTTTTCTTATTTTTCAATTACAGTTGACATTCAATATTATATTCTATTAGTTTCAGGTACACAGCTTAGTGGTTAGACATTTACATAACTTACAAAGTGATCACTTTTTAGATCTAGTACCCATCTGGCAGCATAGTTATTACAATATTATTGACTATACTTCCTGTGCTATACTTTACATCCCCATGACTATTTTGTAACTACCAATTTGTACTTAGTCCTTTCACCTTTTTTACCCAGCCCTCCAACACCCCTCCCATCTGGCTACATCTGTTTCTGCTTTGTTTGTTCATTTGTTTTGTTCTTTAGATTTCACATATAAGTTAAATCATGTGACAAAGCATTTGTCTTTCTCTGTCCGACAGAATAAGCTTTTTAAGAAACATAATCACAACACCATTATCATCAACAGCAAAATTAGTAATTCCTTAATATTATCCAATACCCAGACCAGGCTCAATTTTCTTTCATTGATCAGAAACATTCTATTGTAGATGATTTGTTCCAATAAAAATACAAATAAGATCTATATATTGCACTTTGTTGATGTCCATTGAAATCTTGAGATTTTAATTTATTTTTTCTTATGTGATTTATTTGTTGATGATACTTGTTCACTTATACTGTAGAATTTTACACATTCATTGT